GGTTTTTTGTTAACACACACCCACACACCCACCCCCACACACACACACACACACACACACACACACACACACACACACACACACACACGTTAAGAGGAATGTGAGGGTCCCGTAAGAGAATAGCTCTCCCCAAAAAGTTTTTCAAATCATCTAAAATCAGAATACATTGGATGAAAAATGAAAGTTGATATAATTTAAACGAAAGAAGTTATTTGAGTCATCACAACTTTTTTTTTTTTTTTTTTCTGCCTGACCAGATTGAAGAGGCTGCTGGGCCAAAGGCGCAACCGACAAACTCGGAGGACATGCGGAAGGGACGCCAACCTGCATTTGGACACATATAGAGCGCTGCGGTGTGCTTGAAAAGCTCATGTGATGTCACGTTGCACCACAAGGTGGAGGTGAGTGCGGCCCGTCTGCCTCTCACTCAACTTAAACGTCTGCTTCGTGCACTGCACGACACTGTGAATTACACATAGACAACCCGAGCATCATCAAGCACTTCTGGAATGTTTTTCACATTGAGGTGGGCCAAGTTAGATTAAAAAAAAAATGTGGGTGTATGTATGTGTGTACGTGTATTACTAACTTGGCACACTTCATTATCACACTCTTCTGGTCAAGTTTTTCAATGACATTGATGTTGTGGCATACACGGACGGCACTTAGTTTTTGTCCCAGTGAGAGAAGTCGGATGTGCTCATTTGCCCCTTGATGTGACACCACACATGAGCTGGTCAAGCACACACAATACTGAAGCTGCTCCCATCTAGAGCCTCGTGTGTGCGTGTGCAACTTGAACTGGCCCACACAAACATTGACTGGTAAAATGCTTTCACATTGTCATGTTAGTTTTTCTGTCCAATAAATTGTTCAACTTGAGTTTGAGTCTTTGCCTTTTATGACTAAATTCAACCTCAACTCACTCGCAGCCTTTCATGCGTCATGATCACTGCAGCGGAAGACTTTTCAAAGACTGACATCTTGACCCCCCCCCCCCCCTATCGCCCTAAATTTTTTTCTTTTTTTTTTTTTTTTTTTGCTCCTCCCGTGTCCACGTCTGCAAGTACAAGAGGAGGTGCTCTGCCTCTCATTAGCGTTGCGTTTCCCAGGCCTGCCACATCCACAAAGGGAGTGTGCAGGGATGAGGAGGGAAAGAAAAAAAAAAAAGGAAGACCACAAAAGAGGGAGGAAAAAGGGAAAGGCGGAGCAATTGTTGTGACGACGACGATGATGATGATGATGATGATGATGATGATGGTGGTGGTAGAGTTAACGTGGACTTTTTTCACCCCTTGGAACGTCACCATTACCTATTTCCTTTAAGTTCAATCAGAAGCCTTAACTTTTATGAAGAAAAGTTGTCATCATCATCTTGCAGTTTTTTTTTTGTTTTGTTTTTGTGAAGAATAAAGCATGTGGTCTTAGTTAACACACACACGCACACCCACACCCACACACACACCCACACACACACACACACACACACACATTCTACCACCCATTTCCTCCATTGGAATGGCGAGTTTTTCTGCAACATTTAGTGGAACCACCAATGTCCCAGAAGAGGTACAATTTAGACTTTGACCTAAAATTTCAGGTTGAGATCCAGCGATTGACTTAATTTTTTGTAGCGTAGAGTGTTTTGTTCTGCACAGCACTTTTTTTTTTTTTTTTTTTCTGCCTGACCAGATTGAAGAGGCTGCTGGGCCAAAGGCGCAACCGACAAACTCGGAGGACATGCGGAAGGGACGCCAACCTGCATTTGGACACATATAGAGCGCTGCGGTGTGCTTGAAAAGCTCATGTGATGTCACGTTGCACCACAAGGTGGAGGTGAGTGCGCCCGCCTGTCTGTCTCTCACTCAACTTAAACGTCTGCTTCGTGCACTGCACGACACTGTGAATTACACATAGACAACCCGAGCATCATCAAGCACTTCTGGAATGTTTTTCACATTGAGGTGGGCCAAGTTAGATTAAAAAAAAAATGTGGGTGTATGTATGTGTGTACGTGTATTACTAACTTGGCACACTTCATTATCACACTCTTCTGGTCAAGTTTTTCAATGACATTGATGTTGTGGCATACACGGACGGCACTTAGTTTTTGTCCCAGTGAGAGAAGTCGGATGTGCTCATTTGCCCCTTGATGTGACACCACACATGAGCTGGTCAAGCACACACAATACTGAAGCTGCTCCCATCTAGAGCCTCGTGTGTGCGTGTGCAACTTGAACTGGCCCACACAAACATTGACTGGTAAAATGCTTTCACATTGTCATGTTAGTTTTTCTGTCCAATAAATTGTTCAACTTGAGTTTGAGTCTTTGCCTTTTATGACTAAATTCAACCTCAACTCACTCGCAGCCTTTCATGCGTCATGATCACTGCAGCGGAAGACTTTTCAAAGACTGACATCTTGAGGAGAGAGTTGCGTATCAGTCATTCGTATGGACACAAGTGGAACATTGCTGGTCCCGTCGGTCTCCTCATGAGTCGTAATGACAGGAATCGAGCTTTTGGGTCATGTGAAAGCGACGGGAGCAGTGAAGCAGTCTGATGTGACTGAAGCGCAACTCTGACCTGGAGCCTTTGGAAACCTGCTGCTATGCCTGCCCCCGGCTCCACCCAATTTCACATCTACCAATCACAACACAGCCCAGATTTATATACCCAATGAAAATATAGTCATTTGGATAGCCCCCCCCCCATTTTTTTGGTGGGGGGGTCCAGGGTGAAAAAAAATCCGGAGGGTGGGGGGGATCTGGAAAAAAAATTGGGGGGGAATAATTTACAATTTTTTTCGTCAGTACTTTAGATTTTTTTTGATGAGTAGTAAGTTAGAATTTTGTGATGTATTTAAGAATGAAGTTGAGAGTTCAAGTGTTCTTTGTAATCAAGCTTTATTTCTTTTGCAGAGTAGACAATCACGAAGCAAAGAAAAACGTGGACAAGCATGTTGAGCTGAGAGCAAAGAGACGTCCGCCAGTTACACGTCGAGTCAATTTATTGCGCAGAGAAAGATGTTTTTGGCATGGAACCGACCAGTGAGAGAGACGTTGCTGGGTTTTTCGTGTATAAAAAAAAAAGTTGTCATAATGGTGTATTGAAAGAGTGTAATTGTCTTCCACTTTTCAGGCTGGACCCAAAGTTTGGCTTCAGCACCTGAATTGAAATGTGACTCGTTACCAGCAGATGGCTCATCTCTTCACCTCATGGCACTCCGGTGGTTCCACCTGGATGACAAAGCACAGGTGAGGCCAATTTATGATGAACCAAAAGCGCAGTTCCATTTTACAGTACGCTGCTGCTGAAGCGCCTCATTTTTTAACTTTCTTATTGAAAAAAAAGTGCTAACTGGAGACTGCAACCTTTTGCTGCAACAGTTGGTCGAGCGTGATCAACGCCAACAGGCCAAGCTGCGACTGGTCCAATGACAAACACAAGGTGGTCAAACCTGCCAACACCACAAACGAGGGACCCATCAAGCTCTTATTTTGAATCTTTGAACGGCAACGTTGAAAATGGAGGCGGCAGTGAGGACCTGCTACGAGCTTGCCGCATTTGTTTCTTTGCCCAGCAGGCCTACAACCAACAGTCAAGTACTTGGTTTTGAATTGTGCAACAGGTCCAAACCTTGAGGGGGACGGCTTGACTTCACAAGTTGATCCATGCAACATGAATCAGGTTCTTTCGCACCACCTAGTGGACAAGAGGAGGACAAACACGCACGTGTGCAGGGGCGTCGACTCGACCAGCTCGTGGGGAGCTCGTTGACCTGCTGGTTGAGTAGAAGCTCCTGTGGCTGAAGCCAAATGTTTCTTTTTTTTTTCTGGACCGAGTTTTGACAACTCTGCCCGTTCTTGATTCAATCACATGCTGAAATAAGTCCGAGTAGTCACAAATGTGCCCGTGTATGAAAGAGTTTGTTTCACTCATGAGGTGAGCAGAGATGGACGCTTCTTCGTAAGCTCTTGACTTTTAAATCTTCAGCCCTCCAAGCTCGTAGCTGAGCAACCCGATATTTGGTAGACCTATAAAAGACCCGCAGAAGTCTCACGAAGCCAGGGCCTAAAACGCCACAGGATGGCAGCCATTTTAAAGCTCAGTCTGTTGATGTTCGCCTTATTATACATTGCCATCTTTTTAAAAGAATGCCTTACAATACATGGGTGTCTTTTTCGAAACGCCTTAGAATACATGGTCATCTTTTTCGGCCAAAAACGCCTGACGAAACATGGTTGTTTTTTTCGGCTAAAAAAGCCTTACTATACATGGTCGTTTTTTGGGAGCGAAAAACGCCTTACTATACATGGTCGTTTTTTGGGAGCGAAAAACGCCTTACTATACATGGTCGTTTTTTGGGAGCGAAAAACGCCTTACTATACATGGTCGTTTTTTGGGAGCGAAAAACGCCTTACTATACATGGTCGTTTTTTGGGAGCGAAAAACGCCTTACTATACATGGTCGTTTTTTGGGAGCGAAAAACGCCTTACTATACATGGTCGTTTTTTGGGAGCGAAAAACGCCTTACTATACATGGTCGTTTTTTGGGAGCGAAAAACGCCTTACTATACATGGTCGTTTTTTGGGAGCGAAAAACGCCTTACTATACATGGTCGTTTTTTGGGAGCGAAAAACGCCTTACTATACATGGTCGTTTTTTGGGAGCGAAAAACGCCTTACTATACATGGTCGTTTTTTGGGAGCGAAAAACGCCTTACTATACATGGTCGTTTTTTGGGAGCGAAAAACGCCTTACTATACATGGTCGTTTTTTGGGAGCGAAAAACGCCTTACTATACATGGTCGTTTTTTGGGAGCGAAAAACGCCTTACTATACATGGTCGTTTTTTGGGAGCGAAAAACGCCTTACTATACATGGTCGTTTTTTGGGAGCGAAAAACGCCTTACTATACATGGTCGTTTTTTGGGAGCGAAAAACGCCTTACTATACATGGTCGTTTTTTGGGAGCGAAAAACGCCTTACTATACATGGTCGTTTTTTGAGAGCGAAAAACGCTTTACAGTCCATGGTCGTTTTTTGGGGGTGAAAAATGCCTTATTATACATGGTTGTTTTTGGGGGCTAAAAACGCCTTACTATACTATGTCGTTTTTTTCGGGCTAAAAACGCCTTACTATACTATGTCGTTTTTTTCGGGCTAAAAACGCCTTACTATACTATGTCGTTTTTTTCGGGCTAAAAACGCCTTACTATACTATGTCGTTTTTTTCGGGCTAAAAACGCCTTACTATACTATGTCGTTTTTTTCGGGCTAAAAACGCCTTACTATACTATGTCGTTTTTTTCGGGCTAAAAACGCCTTACTATACTATGTCGTTTTTTTCGGGCTAAAAACGCCTTACTATACTATGTCGTTTTTTTCGGGCTAAAAACGCCTTACTATACTATGTCGTTTTTTTCGGGCTAAAAACGCCTTACTATACTATGTCGTTTTTTTCGGGCTAAAAACGCCTTACTATACTATGTCGTTTTTTTCGGGCTAAAAACGCCTTACTATACTATGTCGTTTTTTTCGGGCTAAAAACGCCTTACTATACTATGTCGTTTTTTTCGGGCTAAAAACGCCTTACTATACTATGTCGTTTTTTTCGGGCTAAAAACGCCTTACTATACTATGTCGTTTTTTTCGGGCTAAAAACGCCTTACTATACTATGTCGTTTTTTTCGGGCTAAAAACGCCTTACTATACTATGTCGTTTTTTTCGGGCTAAAAACGCCTTACTATACTATGTCGTTTTTTTCGGGCTAAAAACGCCTTACTATACTATGTCGTTTTTTTCGGGCTAAAAACGCCTTACTATACTATGTCGTTTTTTTCGGGCTAAAAACGCCTTACTATACTATGTCGTTTTTTTCGGGCTAAAAACGCCTTACTATACTATGTCGTTTTTTTCGGGCTAAAAACGCCTTACTATACTATGTCGTTTTTTTCGGGCTAAAAACGCCTTACTATACTATGTCGTTTTTTTCGGGCTAAAAACGCCTTACTATACTATGTCGTTTTTTTCGGGCTAAAAACGCCTTACTATACTATGTCGTTTTTTTCGGGCTAAAAACGCCTTACTATACTATGTCGTTTTTTTCCGCTTAAAACGCCTTACTATACATGGTCATTTTTTGGGGCTAAAAATGCCTTTCTATACATGGTCGTTTTTTGGGAGCGAAAAACGCCTTACAGTACATGGTCGTTTTTTGGGAGCGAAAAACGCCTTACTATACTATGTCGTTTTTTTCCGCTTAAAACGCCTTACTATACTATGTCGTTTTTTTCCGCTTAAAACGCCTTACTATACTATGTCGTTTTTTTCCGCTTAAAACGCCTTACTATACTATGTCGTTTTTTTCCGCTTAAAACGCCTTACTATACTATGTCGTTTTTTTCCGCTTAAAACGCCTTACTATACTATGTCGTTTTTTTCCGCTTAAAACGCCTTACTATACTATGTCGTTTTTTTCCGCTTAAAACGCCTTACTATACTATGTCGTTTTTTTCCGCTTAAAACGCCTTACTATACTATGTCGTTTTTTTCCGCTTAAAACGCCTTACTATACTATGTCGTTTTTTTCCGCTTAAAACGCCTTACTATACTATGTCGTTTTTTTCCGCTTAAAACGCCTTACTATACTATGTCGTTTTTTTCCGCTTAAAACGCCTTACTATACTATGTCGTTTTTTTCCGCTTAAAACGCCTTACTATACTATGTCGTTTTTTTCCGCTTAAAACGCCTTACTATACTATGTCGTTTTTTTCCGCTTAAAACGCCTTACTATACTATGTCGTTTTTTTCCGCTTAAAACGCCTTACTATACTATGTCGTTTTTTTCCGCTTAAAACGCCTTACTATACTATGTCGTTTTTTTCCGCTTAAAACGCCTTACTATACTATGTCGTTTTTTTCCGCTTAAAACGCCTTACTATACTATGTCGTTTTTTTCCGCTTAAAACGCCTTACTATACTATGTCGTTTTTTTCCGCTTAAAACGCCTTACTATACTATGTCGTTTTTTTCCGCTTAAAACGCCTTACTATACTATGTCGTTTTTTTCCGCTTAAAACGCCTTACTATACTATGTCGTTTTTTTCCGCTTAAAACGCCTTACTATACTATGTCGTTTTTTTCCGCTTAAAACGCCTTACTATACTATGTCGTTTTTTTCCGCTTAAAACGCCTTACTATACTATGTCGTTTTTTTCCGCTTAAAACGCCTTACTATACTATGTCGTTTTTTTCCGCTTAAAACGCCTTACTATACTATGTCGTTTTTTTCCGCTTAAAACGCCTTACTATACTATGTCGTTTTTTTCCGCTTAAAACGCCTTACTATACTATGTCGTTTTTTTCCGCTTAAAACGCCTTACTATACTATGTCGTTTTTTTCCGCTTAAAACGCCTTACTATACTATGTCGTTTTTTTCCGCTTAAAACGCCTTACTATACTATGTCGTTTTTTTCCGCTTAAAACGCCTTACTATACTATGTCGTTTTTTTCCGCTTAAAACGCCTTACTATACTATGTCGTTTTTTTCCGCTTAAAACGCCTTACTATACTATGTCGTTTTTTTCCGCTTAAAACGCCTTACTATACTATGTCGTTTTTTTCCGCTTAAAACGCCTTACTATACTATGTCGTTTTTTTCCGCTTAAAACGCCTTACTATACTATGTCGTTTTTTTCCGCTTAAAACGCCTTACTATACTATGTCGTTTTTTTCCGCTTAAAACGCCTTACTATACTATGTCGTTTTTTTCCGCTTAAAACGCCTTACTATACTATGTCGTTTTTTTCCGCTTAAAACGCCTTACTATACTATGTCGTTTTTTTCCGCTTAAAACGCCTTACTATACTATGTCGTTTTTTTCCGCTTAAAACGCCTTACTATACTATGTCGTTTTTTTCCGCTTAAAACGCCTTACTATACTATGTCGTTTTTTTCCGCTTAAAACGCCTTACTATACTATGTCGTTTTTTTCCGCTTAAAACGCCTTACTATACTATGTCGTTTTTTTCCGCTTAAAACGCCTTACTATACTATGTCGTTTTTTTCCGCTTAAAACGCCTTACTATACTATGTCGTTTTTTTCCGCTTAAAACGCCTTACTATACTATGTCGTTTTTTTCCGCTTAAAACGCCTTACTATACTATGTCGTTTTTTTCCGCTTAAAACGCCTTACTATACTATGTCGTTTTTTTCCGCTTAAAACGCCTTACTATACTATGTCGTTTTTTTCCGCTTAAAACGCCTTACTATACTATGTCGTTTTTTTCCGCTTAAAACGCCTTACTATACTATGTCGTTTTTTTCCGCTTAAAACGCCTTACTATACTATGTCGTTTTTTTCCGCTTAAAACGCCTTACTATACTATGTCGTTTTTTTCCGCTTAAAACGCCTTACTATACTATGTCGTTTTTT